TGCCAACGGGCATTTGCTGTTTGCGAATGCTGAACAATTGGTTGTGCCCTTGGCATCCCTTGGCAACATATGGGGTTTGTGGTCGAGCGTGACTATGAAAGCGGACAGACCTGCCAACTACCATTGTGGAACAATTTAACAAGTTTGTGGAAGGTGGGTTAAGCTAAATGCTTGGCACCGCATTTCCTTTTGACAGCTCCTCCTTAAGGGAGAAGGAAACGCAGACGCAGCAACAGTGATTATTTCCCATGTGACTAAGACTCAGAAAGATTAGACTGCCTTGACATTGTCAATTGGTGGAAGTTCTTCCCCACTTTCGCAATACTATTTAAGCTTACTGGGTCAATGCTACAAGAAAAGGGGCAACTTGCTGTCAGAGGCGCATGTGGAATTAAGTTCCAACGTTGTCAAGGGCTTGCCAGCAAAAATGGCCAGGACTCTATCGACAAGCTTTTGGCAATGCTCGACATGTGTGGCTTGACTTGACAGAGGTTGCAATGACCTTGAGTTGGGTGCGCCATGGTTTTGGGGGGACCCCCCCAGGATGGTGGTGTTCCTTTACCCTCAAACATAGACACACCCACTTCTTTTGCATGTGGGCCATCCATTGCGCCTTAGATTGGCCCTGACGCGTCCCTGGCCTCGCCATCCTCCGGAGCTTTGCTCACCAATTGGCTTCAGGTAGATGTACAATGACCGGACAAGGAAAAGGCTTGCACTTTGATAGGAAGTCACATGTCGAAGGTTCCAGCATGCAAGCTCTGCGCAGCACTTTTGCCACTTTAGGTGACAAGATCGGGGCTGAGATGATGCCTGCAGAGGCCTGGCATGTTGAGCGGTTCAGCACCCTGTCCTTGTTCAAAACATGAAACTCAACCGAATGCGCCCATGAACAGTGCCCACCAATGATTTGCAACATCCGTGCGCGGAAGCATGCTATCTGTTCAATTTGTGCCAGCTGCAGCTCCGAGCGACCCAAGCCGAAGGTCATGCAAGACGTCTACGTGGTTCGGCGCCCAGAAATTGCGATGCCCGGCTGATCTTCACCCGGAAGCCGTCAGGCACGGGGGGGCGTGAGCTCGGTGAAAACCCGTCCAAAGTCGGAGAGTGCGGCGACGCTGACCGCTCGCCGCGTCGCATGAGGTGCCATTGCTCTCCTGGTGGAGCTGCACGCCGCTGGCTCAGAGCGACATGTGTTGTCAGCAAGCTCTTTGGCCATCCCCTCGGTCCCCATTCATCATTCCAAGGGTGAATTCCTGATTGGGGTTGCTTTTGCGTGCGTGCGTTTCTGGGAGCAGCAGCAGGGCAATCGAAGTTTGGACAGCGATTTCATTTCTGGATTCTGACCCAGTGAGGGTTTTAGACATGCACCCATTTGGTAAGATGCTTGCTCAAAGGCCTCAACTATTTTTTCCAAAATGCCAATGAGCACAAGCATAGCTTTTTACAACATTGCTCAATGAGGCCGCTCGCATAGGTGTTGTAGCAGTGACTTAGTCACAGCCCCGGCTCCTCCCCCACAAACTGCCGAACCCCCTAGCGCATAGAAAAAAAGATGTTCACAAGGGGCCACGAAAGACATTCGAGTTGATTTAAAGAGACCTTGTCCGTACTGCCCACAGTGTCCGTGGTGAAGCTCGGCTGGTTTTCCAGAGATCTTCTTGAGTCTGGCGTCGAGTTTTGCTCAGGTTCTGCGAAGGCGACCCCCGACCCGACGATGTGCGGTATGACTCCTTTTGCAAGCACGGAGCTCAAAGTCCTTCGAGCTTGCAAGGTGCTTAAGGCTCAATCTTTGGTTGTCTTCGTGTTGGGGGGTGGGGAGGTGGATGGTGGAGTGTTGGTGTTGTTGGCGCAGGTTTGTGATTCCTGTAGCCGCCAGCCAGCCGCAAAGCATAAAACATCGGCATGAGAGAGAGAGAGAGAGACAGAGACAGAGACAGAGAGATGAGCAGCATCATTCTGTTTTTCTTCGGGTGTTGCGATTCTATGCGAGTTCGGCTTTGCTCACACTTACGTGGCGAAATGAGGTTCAAGTAAGTGCCGCGCCTTACATGGCCGAAAACATGCAATGGATCGCAGCAGTGCTCCTGGTTGTTGTGTGTTGTGGTTTGATGGGAAGTCACCCCATGTCGCCAAGTAAGTGAGTACTCAAGCTTGCCACCCTTGTGGATCTTTGGCGCGGTTTTCACCGTAGGTGGCCTATGGGTGAGGAAGGCGCGCACAAATACTTCCTGCAGTGGAACGACTACTTTGTGCAGCGCATCAAGAAGCAGCAGGAGAGCGTGGCCGCTGGATGGGACACGCAACCAGGGTAGCATGTGATGTGGGGTGACGCGGGAATCGTGTCATGCCTATTTTTACTCGCAGCATGTTGAGGCAGAGCCTTACGGCACAAGCAAGGCAGAGCAAGGCCACCAGATGCGCGACGCCTTGCAAGAAGCATTTCTGACTTGAAGCTAAAAGCTCAGAGCAAAACCACAGGATGGTCATGCAGGCCGTCTCACTCGTTTCTGCCCCCGAGCGCCAACTGGACACCACACACGTGCGCAGGAGGCACGGGGCCGCAAGGGCGATGTGGTCACGTTCAGCCACTTCCTGCCGGGGGCTGATGAATCCTCGGCGTGTCCCCCTCATCTACTTGCAGTCCAGTTCGGGTCGGATCAGTTTCCGTTCGGGCACAGGTGTTTGAAAGCATCCCATTCTTCACCGTGCGCGTGAAGCTGCCAAGAGGGCACTAGGAACCCAGGCACGTAAGTAAGTAAGTAACTAACCCCCAACCCCCCCCCCCCCCCCCGAAAAAAAGATCAAGGCGCAGGCCCATAAGTAACATACCTTTGTACATAAGTAATTAATTAATCCGCTTCGTTTGTAACATACCTCCTCCTTAAGCGCGTGACATCCTAGCCAGCAAGGCAACAGAAAAAGGCTCTTCCAGCACCGATCCCTCGCTGCAGTACTAGGCCCGGAAACGTGCAGCTTGCAGAGGGGGCAACCTTGAGCAAGGTTATGTCCCGCACGCACTGGCGCCGGCAGCAAATGAGGGAGGCCTCCTCCACCAACCGCACAGGCAGCGGTCCCGCCTGTGAGCTGCACACGGCACAAGCATTATGCCCTTGGTGTGACGGGCGGTGCCCCACAGAAATGGGCACCGCCCCGGACCAAAGAGGGACCTCGTCCTTAAGCAATTACGTAGGTAAATTTAATGATCAAGTAAGTAAGTAAGCAAGTAGCTAACTCACTAACTACCTACCCCCCTCCACCCCCCTGCCCCCGGGGGAAAGAATACAAGGCCGAGGTCCGTAAGAAACACACACCCGCCAGTAAGTCACCAACCCGCTCCGTAAGTAGCAAACGTAAGTAAGTAAGTAGCTAACCCCCCCCGCACCTCGAGGAAAAATGCCAGGCCTGCCAGAAAGTAGCCAATAGCGCTTCGAACCGCCGAAAGCGCGCAGACCAAAGAAAGCGCCGAGTTTTGGAGGGGCCGGGCGGGGGGGGGGGCAAGCCCGAGACCCTTGATCGCGAGACAGCTGCGCGGCCACTGTGCCACAGGTCCCAAGGTAAGTAAGTAAGCAAGAAATAAAGTAGTTGGTCCCCCCTCTCTCCGAAAAAGTCACAAAGGCTCAGATCGGTCAGCAACATAGTTACCCAATTATCCAGTAAGAAACTAACCCCCTCCGCAGCGTCGCACGCGATCGATTTTTCGAGAGCCGGCCAGAGCAAAGCCCGCAGAGGGTTGCACAAGCGATGTGAAAACCAAGGAAAGCGCCGAGTTTTCGAGGGTCTGCGGCCTGGGCCACAAACAACGAGACGCGTCAGGGGGGAACCGAGCCCAAGACCCTCGCAAGTAAAATTGTAAGTAAGTAAGTAAGTAAGTAAACATGTCCAAGTAAGTAGGGTGGGCGTTTTAAGCAAAGCAAGCAAGTAGGTAAGTGAGTAAGTAGGCAGGTACGTGAAGTCAGTCAGCTAGTACGCAAGTAAGTAACTAACGAACCCTCCACCCTCCACACCTTGCTTACTTAAGTCAGTACGCGCTTTATGCGAGCAAGTGAGTATGTCAGTAAGTAAGTGGTCCGTCCGTAAGTAACATATTCTAGCGTGTAGTCCTCCCCCCGCCCCCAGCCCAAAAAAAAAGATACAAGTCCAAGGCCTAACCCGTAGGCGTGTAGGCCAGCCAGAAAGGAAGCGTCCGAGCGCGTAAGAAAATATGTAAGTGAATAAG